GTGGGAGGATGTCAGAACAACGGTCTTAGAATGGCATCCAAACCAGGTTGAGGCTTGGGGATTTCTACAATTGCAATGCTATTAATTACTTACGAAAAATCGTGAAGAAGAGAGAAAAGCAATCGACATTAGACAGATTCTTTAACCCTTTCAAACAGAAAAAAACATTACTAATTAAAACGCAACACTGTGTATGTATGTAGCTATATTATTACATATAAATAAACGTAGTAAGAAGGTATATATTTTTTATTTTTTAAGGTCTCCAGAACGAATTAATTAAATTCCCATTAAAACCTACGGTAAATCGATAATCGGTTAACGAACAATTCGGATAGCGAACAAAATCTTGGAACGGATTATGTTCGTTAACCGATCACCCACTGTATATTAAAAAAAAAACACTCAGATAAAACACGATTATCCTTTATATCGCAGAAGAAAACCTGATGATGGAGGCTTTACAGCGAAAATCGGACTTCATGAAATCGATAATAGATGAATAGTGCCTTACTGTTCTCTGTTAACTAAAATATTTAATGCTCGCGTAAATTTAAAATTTTGTAACTCTATCAAGTCTATCAAATATGGTATAGAGCGTAGGAAAGCTACGCTGGACACAAATGTTACTCAGGAAAAACTCCACAGGAAAAAATTATATTCAATGTTTACACTGTAAATTTTGGTTTATTATTTCAAATGTTCAATATGGAAATTGTCTAAACTTCCGAGTCGATAGGTCAAAGTTTACGGGGTTCCCCATAGAGCTGTTTTACCTCTACGGCTTAAGTTTATGCTTGTGAGGTTAAAATTGCATCGAAACGAATAATTTTCATTCAAAATGTTATCCAGAATAACAAAAGCTCAAATTTATGCAAATTAAAACTTTTTATAAGCGGTACTCCCAATATTTTTGTTTGTATTAATATTATTTACATTTCACTTATCTTCATGAAGCGCCAAGCTTATCTTTACCAAAGAAAAACACCTAAGAAAAAATTTGACTGTCATCCAAATTGTCATAATTTTTCACTTCGCGCAATATTTTACATCTCAGATGTTTTTCTTGCATTTCATTTACATTTACTTTTTTATAAATTGCAGAGAAAAGAAATTAATGTTACGTAACATTACAATGTTACCTTTGTTTATTTAATAATGAAAAAAATTAATATTTTTAATAAAGCAACAAGAACTTTTTTGAGCTTAAATTAAAAATTAATTTTTCTCGATGGATAGCAAAAATTCTGAAAATAGTTTATGGCCATTCCTGAAAAGTGCAATCCGAGACATTCAGAAGAAGAATAACGCTCACTTGAAATTTGAAGAGTTATATCAATACGCATATTTAATGGTCAGAAATGATTACGGAAAAGAATTGTACAAAAATATAAAAGATGCCATCACTAACCGTTTAGTATATGAAGTACGCAAAGAAATTCTTCATTCTCTTCGAAACAACTTTTTGTCAACTCTCATCGAATCATGGAATGATTTTCGAGTAGAAATGGTCATGATTCGAGATATTTTTATGTATTTAGACCGAGCGTACGTGGATAGAAACAAACTGGAAAGCGTGTATAATGTAGGATTGATTCTTTTCCGTGAAGAGATTATAAAACACGAAGGTATATCTAACAATCTTCGTAGCATTCTTCTTCAAATGATCATGACCGAAAGAAAAGGAAAAACTATCGATAGAAGTAGTCTTAAAAATGTTTGCAGTATGCTTGTTTCTTTAGGAATAAATTCTAATGTTTTATACGAAGAAGAATTTGAAAATGCATTTTTGGAACAGTCTAAGCAGTTTTATCGAGAGGAGAGTTGCAAATTTTTATCGGAAAACGATGTAAAATCTTATGTAGAAAAGGTTCAATCGAGATTTCAAGAAGAATTGGATAGGGCAAGAGAATGTCTAACCGAAACAAGCGAAAAACGCATTTTAGAAGTTTTAGAAGATGAATTAATTAGAAAAAATATTACATCTGTACTAGAAATGAAAAATTCGGATATAATCAATGCACTAAAATTTCATAAAATAAATGATTTGGCTTCAATGTATCAGTTAGTTTGCAAAACCGAAGATTGTCTAATGATAATGGCAGAATATATTAGTTCTTATGTGAGAAACGTTGGACATTCCTTAATAGAAGACACAGTAAAGGGAAAATCTGATTTCTTAATTTCTGTACAAGAATTAATAAACTTGTTAGAAAAAGTTGATCATTTGCTGTTGACATCATTCAATTCAGATAAATATCTACATAAAATTATAGCTAGCGACTTCGAATATATTTTAAATTTAAATTCCAAGTGTGCAGAGTACCTGTCGCTATTTTTAGACTATAAATTAAAGAATAAACATAAAGATGTTGCCGAACAGGAAACAGAATATTTAATTAATAAAACTCTAGTGCTTTTACGTTATTTACAAGATAAAGATATATTTCTAGGATACTACAGACATCATTTAGCCAAACGACTTTTACTCAAGAAAAAAGTATCGAATGATTACGAAGAAAAAATTATTTCAAAGCTAAAATCAGAATGCGGAAACTATTACACTTTTCAATTAGAGCGAATGATAAAAGACATAGCGGTTTCCGATATCATTACGGAAGAGTTCAAGACTCAAACGGATAACTTAAATTCGATGGATTTTAATATGAAGATTTTGTCTCCTGGAACTTGGCCAACGTCAATGATTACCACGATCTGTAATTTACCCAAACAACCCGAACAAATCTTTGAATCTTTTAAGAAATTTTACCTTAAAGAGCATCGCTGCCAAAAATTAATTCTGCAAAGTCATTTAGGTTGGGCCGATTTAAGTTCCAAGTTCTATGGAGTGGTTTTAAATGACGCCGATACCAAGAATGACGATTCAAAGTTTATATCAGATTCTATGATAAAAAATAATTTTAGGAAATATTTTCTTCAGGTTTCTACATATCAAATGTACATTTTAGTGTTATTTAATACAAAAAAGACCATATCGTTTCAAGAAATGTTGGCAGAAACAAACATAGCAGAAAAGGATCTAGAAAAAGCGTTGCAGCCATTAATTTCGGGTACTCCGTCGCAGAATATCTTAAACAAAAATCCTGAAAGTCTACCAATACAGCAAGCTGATAATTTCATTGTAAACGAATCATTTTATTCCGAATCGTATCGAGTGAAAATACAATCATTTGCAAAGAAGGACAAAATCGATGATGATAAAGCGAGTCAGGATACAATAAACGATGACAGGAAGTGCGAAATAGAAGCGGCAATAGTAAGAATTATGAAATCTGCAAAGGAACTGCAACACAAAGAACTTATTTGTAAAATCAAAGAACATTTAAAAAACAGATTCAATCCTAGCATCAAATTAATTAAAATACGAATCGAAAATCTAATCGAAAGAGAATATTTGGCTAGAAAATATGACGACAAAAACGTTTACGTTTATATTCAGTAGAGTCACATTCCCTCTTCAATAAAAAAATCAATTAAATTTCACTTAATATTATTTTAGAAAACTAGTAATAAAATTTACATTTGTAAAATTTTCAACTCATAATTTTAACAACTTTAAAAATAAAAGTGATACTTTTCATTTTCCCTGGAAAAGGAAGAGTCTTCTTACCCTTTTCCGTGCCCATCATGAATTCGCCTAGGTCACAATGTCCCCTCTAAAGACCTACGAGAGACACAAGTCCGGGTCAATTCATCTACAAGAATTTCTGAAGTTGCGTTTACTTTTTAATTATTTTAACTCGATAGACAGCGATACGATCATCCAGTCATGTAACAGAGCGTTGGCGAATGCAGAGTTAATAGCTTTATCAATATGTTGTAACCTGTAGGCCTAAATAACTTTTAAACGTTAAAATCAGCAGAACTTTTTCTTTAGCGAACGGTAGTGAACGGTGCTAGTAGTTAATGAGAAGCTTTCAGAATGGCATCACATGTTTCGGTGAAGCGCATTCTTTGGTGAGACAGAATATTTACATAAACCGTTATAATAGCAAACTGATAAAACAGATAATAACAATTAGGCTATAAGCCAGGTCATTCCAATAAAAAACGTTATCACAATAATCAGAATATATTTAAATTAAATAATCAAATATATAATACCGATTACTCTTAATACATTAACCGTTTTTTTAAACTCGCATTCAATACTGCATATAATAGGTCAGTGGCGCGTTATAGCTTCATGGGCGCCCAGGCAAATTTGAATTAGGAGGCCCATATCCTCTACAGTGTTGACTTAAGACATTTTTCTTTGGGAAAATTTTTGGGTGAAAATATTTTCTTATAAAAGATTGGTTTGTGGTGTGGGCCCCAGGCAATTGCCCTTTTTGCCCATAGAATAACGCGCCAGTGCAATAGGCCTATTGTTTGCTGTTGTCGAAGATTCTGCTTGTCACTACTATGAAATTAAAGTACAGTACAGTAATACCTCGACTTACGCTACCCCGACTTACGCGAACCCGGAGTTACGCGATTTTCAAATCTCGTCGATTCGTCTTTTGTTTGAGCGCCACGCAACCCTTGATTACTCACTCCCCCCACACTATTGTTCAGCTTACATGTTCGGATGTGTCGCGCGGAATCCACACATAGCTACAATTTATTTTGTGTTATTTATTTCTGTGTTTGTTATATCTACGGAGACTTGAGAGACTCTACTATGTCATCCAAACGAAGTAGAACTAATTCTTCTGCATCAAACAAGAAAAGAAAAACTTTATCTTTGGAATGTAAATTTAACATTGTGTATGTTCGTAAAGTCGAACGAGTTAAGCGAGAATGAAGTCATCGTTATTCCTATTTCGTTAGACTTTTCGAACGATTCGTTACTAACGCGTTTAACTCGTTTGACTTTACGAACGTACCCATTATTAAAGACTTCGATACAAAAATGAAAATTTATGAATTGGCAAAGAAGTTTGATCTACCGGAATTGTCGGTCAGAACAATTATAAAAGGCAAAGAAAAAATTCTCGAAGCTGTGAAAAATGCTCAATCTTTAAATTCAAGCATCATTCGTAAACGTCACAGTATTATCGCTGAGATGGAAACAATGTTAAAATTATGGCGTAATAATCAAGTAAATGTGAAAAATTGTAAAATAATATAGGCCTAATTTGTTATACATATGTATTATCTAAGATTTTATTAAACATTTTTTTCTAAATTATTGTTTTCTTTAGTCTCCGGCCCCAATTAAAAATTATTTGTATGTATTTATATGCGAAATTATACCCCGACTTATGCGGTTACCGCTCGGTCCCACCTATCGCGTAAGTTCGGGGTATTACTATACTGTACTGTTTTCAACATGACAACGATTTTGCCCATACTGAGCCGAGTGTTCAGCAGTTTTTGGACAAAGACAGTATGACCCCATGCTTCATCCTCCCTTTTCAACCCTCTCGCCCGGCGCGACTTGTTTTTGTTTCCCAAGATAAAAAAAAGTCTTCAAAGAGAAGTTTCTGATGTGAAAGAGGTAGAAAAAAAAAAAAACGGCAGAAGCACTAAAAGGCATCAAAATTGATGAATTCAAAAACTGTTTTGAGCAGCGAAAAAACGTCTCGTTAAGTGCTTTGCATCGCTCTCCGTTTTATGCAATGCACTCATTGTGATTACAACTTGAATAAGTAAAAATAAATACACTTCTTTTATAAATAAATTCCGATTTTTTGGGTCTCCCTCTTCAAAAAGGGTTAAGTTTTTGGACTATTTTTGGGATCAAAAAAAGATGATCCTTTCTGGGTCTTCCTTTACACTGCATTCCACAGCATAAAGGAAGAAACAAAGCAAAATGAAAAGATTTGTCCTCGAAGATAAACTTGAAATTGTGTCGTTTTAACAACTGGTTAGTTAAATAGAATATAAACTTGAAAAGAAAGATTGTTCTTTGAATAGAGAATTTACAGCACATTCATATATTAATAATATTTCATTAAAAACAGTAAAATAATATTACTTTCTGTGAATATAATATCACTAATTCGTCTATACAACAAGGAAACATATCTAACTTAAAGGCATACTACAGAAGAAAACGTATACAAGAATTTTAAATCTAGATTATAGTCAAAGACGAACTGATTTCGCTTGTATTGCTAAAAGAATTTCTCTACTAGACGCATTACGTCTTGCAATATTGTAGGTTCGAGTCTGAGAAGACACTAAGAATTGTTTAAAAAGGGGCCATTTTTTTAAGAAAAAATCACTAATTTTTAAACAATTCTCATAGACATAAATTCATATAGACACCTGAAAATGAAGTTGTGCCTGTTGATAAGGAGATCATAAATAACACTCCAGAAGATATGTCAATAGAAAAGTTTAAAAACTGATTGGTAATTTACAAGGAAATTACAGTGTATGCTATGATGATATCATCTGAAATATGCCAAATTGTTGCTGAATTATCTGATGAAATTAAAGAAAATCAACATGAAGATAGTATAGATCTTTCGACAAATGCGAGATGCGAGAAACTCTGCGAATACTTTGAGGCTTCTCTGCATGGCGTCGCGCGCTCAAGGCCATGCAGAGAAGCATAAAATTAAAACCTTGGAAAACGAAAAGCTATTTTATACCATAAAATGAATTATTTTAAATGAAATATATGAATAAAAACGCTATGAAATGAATAAAAATAATAAAATTAATTATTTTTCAAGTGTTATTTAATTTAATTAACAGATATTAAGTTATTTGTTATTATTTTTGAAATATCCCACTTTATGTAAATTTCGAATAACATGAATTTTCTCGCCTGTAGTTTTTAAAAGGTCGACCAGATGTTTTAGAGAGGGGAAAAATGCTATTTCTTCTTAAAGGTGTGGCATTTCACTGGCTATTCGAAACTAACTTGATTTGGGGTAGACTTTTTCTTTCAAGGACAACAAGTTATTATTTAAAGAAACTGAAGATATTTGATGTCAAGAGGAAATTAGTAGTTTCTATTAATAATATTTTTACATATTCAGCAGCTAATTAAATCTCATTTGTCTAAAACCGACTTTAAAAGTATTAAAAGAGATTATCGTTGAAGTAAATTAAAAATTTGAAAATTGATCTTAAAATTTAGCCTATTCTAAAATGCATTTACAAACTGTTTATGTACAATTATAAATAAATTATAATGGATAAATAAATCAACATATACTGTACAGTTAGATGAATTAAATTTTAGACAGTGAAAAGATGTGGGCATGTGCATTTCCTTTGTAGTGGGATATGTATAGCAAGATAAAGGAATTACTATAACATTAATTATAGCTTTTATAGTGATAACATGACGATTTACTATATAATTTGTTATCATTATCACTCACTATAACTATTTTGCAACTTTCAACAATTTTAAGTTGTAGAACTTCGTACAAAACAAACGGAAAATACCCACAACTTTTCACTATAAAATTTAACGTATCTTACTGTACACACACATATGTGCATAGGCCTAACAATATACACACATAAATGCACATATGAACTTATTCACATTTCAAATTATGTTAGAAGAAAAACGTACAGTATATAGATCTATTTACATTCACTGACATTTTTACAATTAGCTGCTTAATTAAAAATTTGATTGAGTAAAATCCCTTTTTAAAAAATATGTTCATAAGTTATTTTGAATAAATAATCAGTTAAGCTTTTACAATAAATTATACTATAATGTTATCTATGAGAAAAAAGGAAGAAAAAGTATATTATAGAATTATTTTAAATCAAATATATAAAATATAATAAATAAAAATAAACATTATTTAAATATCCCTGCTATATTTTTTATAATAAAGACAATTTTATTATTTATAAGTTATCATATTAAACATACCAATATAAAGGATATTACAATAAAATTGCTATTAAGTAAGTACGGCTTAAATATTAATTTCTATGAGAAATCATCTCGAAACGTGCGAAAATTTGATATAAACTTATAAAATGCTTTATTCAATTCAAGGAAATATAAAATTTATATTTATAATTTAGAGCATGTCTTGAAGAGAGACTTTTCTTTATTATCTGAACGAATAATTATTCAGAATATTTCAAGGAAGACAACTGATTTTCGTATTCGACGCTGTTCTTTAAGGCTGTCCTGTCCATCAGTCCTTCAAACGAAGTCGAGGACATTGCACTAGACTCAATGAACTTGAAAGGATGACTACTTTGGAATTCTCAAGGTAAGCAACTGAATTGTGTTCGATAGTACTAGGTGTAACAGAGGTCGTCATTCGCATCTCGAATTATTCCTCACCATATAAATATAAGCGAGCAACTCATTCTCAACAGACAGTCTTCGCAGATCAATCTCGATAACTTCTTCACTTAGTAAATATGAAAGTAAGTTTATCATTTAGATAAAAATAATTTATTATTTTACTTTTATAAAATATAGACTAATATTTATTTTAAAAACTATGCTTTCGTATTTCAGTTTTTTATTGTCATTGCCTTGGTAGCAGCGACTCAGGCTGTACCTATTCCTTACGGACTTATTTCAACAGGAACTAGTCTACAATATAGAAATCAAGATGTAAGACATTTAATATAAGACATTTAAAATACTTCTGAAACGATTAACAAACAGTTTATAATTTTTAACTTAAATATTGTAGCCTATCGGCAATTACAACTTTGGATATAATGAAGGTCACGCTACAGGAGGCACCTTCAGAAGAGAAGCAGGTGATATTGCAGGAAATAAAGTCGGTTCTTACGGATTAGTAGATGCCGACGGAAGAAGAAGAGTAGTCAACTACGTGGCTGACGGAGCTGGTTTCCGTGCCAACATCCAAACCAACGAACCTGGAGTGGATCCTGCCAAGGACCCCGCTGCCGTTGCGGTTAACAAAGGCTTATTAGCTGCTCCAGCACTGAGTTATGCTGCTCCGGCATTAGGTTATGCTGCTCCATTAGCGACTACTGCACTTGGTTATGCCCCAGCTCTGGGTTATGCAGCTGCACCATACTACGGTGCTTATCTTTGGTAATAATTGAAGAATGTATTATAGTTTACATGGGATAAATAAAAGTTTTGTTTAAAAAATTTAATTTAGAATTTGTTAATTGTATCCAATTGTTAGTTAAAGACACAGATCGTTCATTTAATGCGGAACATTGCATTATAATTTTAATAGTATTTATGATTTATAAAGCAATTTCATATAAAATATTATTCGATGATATTTATTTTGTAGTTATTAACAATCTCTATGAAAATGCTCTAGTTGATTATTTTATGATTAAAAGAGAAATTATTATGTATTATTATTATATATCAATTAGACGAAAATACTTCCCTAGATCCATTTCAAAGAATTAATTTTGCATATTACAAAGAATACAAAGGTTAATAATGACGAAAAAGCCTGCATATTCTAATTTATCTATTTCTGTAGATAAGTTTAGTCTATAAATGTAAATAATAGTGAGATTTGCTGTCTATTATTGATATACTTACTCTATTGTCTTTTTATATCTCTGTTAACTTTTAGTTTTATACATTCCGTAGCCTACACATACAGGCTAGGGTGTGTATAAAACTAAAATTCCGAAAGATGTAAAAATGAAAAATTTCTAGATTGATCCCTAACGCTATTTCATTCAAGAAATGCAGTACTTTCAGCTTTCAACTGAAATAAAATAACTTATTTCACTTAATAAAAATATTCTCTTTCTAAAATGGAACCGAATAAATCTATAAAATAATTAAAAATTATCGCAATCAAAAAGTTTTTCAGTTGACATATAAGTTAATTCTATGGTCAAATGTTAAAGTAAACTCGTGCAAATAACTAGTTTACGAGGACGTTAGAAAAAAATTTAAATTTATCGTGTAAACTTCTCAATCAATAAATTACCGTCTATACAGGTTTTCACGGGAATTAAGCAACGAAATACATGAATGATCTGCAAGTGGAGGTGTCACTCGGAAGGATTTCCTATGATAAACTGACCTACAGATGGCTGTTTTTTTTATTCTCTGGGGCCTTTTTATCAAGGCCTACAATGGCCGCGTAAATAAAAGTACTGAACTCTGATTAGTTAGTCGTGGGTTCACGCTTCGTCAATAGACTGCCACGTGGAGTTTTCCGGGTTTTCTTCACGTTAGTAACACGTAAATAGGGGCCAGTTTCCCATATGAGATCTCCGGGAAGCCATTGCCCTCTCTGCAGATCGTCTATATGTCACATAGGAATAAAACCATGTTGGCCATGCACACAATGGATAGGGAGGTCGCGAATAGGAGCCAAAATATCCGGGACTAACCACCCTCGAAAAATTCCTCCCAGGGACACAAAACTTCACAATTCGTAATTTATGCTTATATTAAAAGGTTTTAAATGTTAAAATAATTTAAAATTTTTTAATTGCAAAGAAAGAAAATAAACGAGTTATAACTATCTAAAAATCTGAATCAACTTTCTTCTTTGAAGGTCATTTTTTCTAATTTATATTTATTACAAAAAACCATGAAAGTAAATAAATTTATTATTCTTTACTCGCTAGCGTTTAATGTTATCTATTATCTTTACATTTTGAATATAATTTAAATAAAATAAAAATAATTAAATAAAATAAATAAATAAATAATTGATCGCATGTTTAAAAAAATCCTCAAAAAAGTCCGTAAACCAAATTAATATTGAATTATAATTCATATAATATTAAAAAGTATACAATATTGCTAGAATGTAATCAAGTTTTATACAATTGACATTCTCGGTAATCCGGCCTTTCAATTAATTATTTGGCATACTGTCCAATGTAACCGCCTACGTGCTCCATTTTCATGCAAATGTTAGTTATGTCACATGTCCTGTTTTCCTGTTTACTTGGTTTTATTTCTTTGAACAGTATTGCATATCAGAGTACCACATTGTTTGCCCACCTTCCTCCAAAAAAAGGAAAAAAAAAAGTACCAAAGGGAGACAGATCATATCATTCATTGCCTTTAGGCCCACACACTCTCAGTAATCAGGCGCTCTCGCTAATCTGGCACCTCTCTGCAAGGATTGACCGGATTAACGAGAATCTGAGTCTACTGGAAACTACTTTCCAAACATTTGAATCTAGAATCCTTTATTATACCTATATTTCATTTAATCATCGCTTTCTGTTTACGGATAATACAGTGCACATAAATAGAGCTAGAATAATTTATTTTGAGAAATAGATAAAAATCTTAGAATGTTCTTTTCAAAATAAAATGAAGAATAGTACGGAACAAGATTAAAACGGAAATCTGCTTAAACGGCAAATTTCCGTTTTAATAAAATTCTTCGAAACGAAACAATTTTCTGTTAAAAAATACCTGTTGAAAACGGAACCTGCCAAACCGGAGAAAATATTCGGTACCGGGCGACTCCGGTTTACACAGGTTTTACTGTATGACTTTTCAAAATTAGTTTACCTCCAATAAAAAGTAATGCTTATTCAATAGGAAATTATTTGGTCAGAAAAATTAATATTTATTTAATCTGTTTAAACATTTCTCAATCACTTTTATATTCCATATGAGGAAATATCCTATTATTCGCTAAAGAAGTTCTCTGTATAACGCTGTAAGATCCTTTTTTTATTTCTGCAATGCAGAAATGCCAAATGTCGAATTTTCGTGAATCTCAATCTTTATTAATTTTGCGAACAATCAATTTCAAAATTATTGTTCGCAAAATAAAATTATTTATTTAATTATTTTTATTAAAATTATTTATTTAATTATTTTTATTAAAATTATTTATTTAATTATTTTTATTAAATTCATTTATTTAAAATATTTTTCATGCTCTAGAATATTTGGTAAATTGATGAAATCTAATATTATCAATAATAAAACAAAATTTTTAAAGGTTTTTTTTTAAATGACAAAAGTAACGCGACGATCGCTTTATAAATTTCAAGGTAAAATGATCCAGTTTTAGTTAGTTATTTTGAGGTGTGGCAGAGGATATTCCGTTCAATTTAAAAAAAAAATGAGTAGTCGTTGACATTGCATCTGACGATTTCATTTTTTAAAAGATTCTGTCTACAAAATCAACTATATTCAAGTCTTCAAGGTAATCGACCTAATTGGGTTAGGTAGTACTGGGGAGTGGCGGAGGTCGTCATTCCCATCTTCATAAAAACAACCGATGATATTGCATCAGACATCTAGTATAAAAGAGACGAATACACTGCAGAAACTCATTCTCACAGCTTCTATTCAATCAACATGAAGGTAAGTTGTTAGTTAACTTCGAAAATTTTAAACTGTAATACTTAAACTTTAATAAACTAACAATGTATTTATCTCAGATCCTCATTGTCATTGCCTTGGTAGCAGCGACTCAGGCTGTACCTATTCCTTACGGACTTATTTCAACAGGAACTAGTCTACAATATAGAAATCAAGATGTAAGACATTTAATATAAGACATTTAAAATACTTCTGAAACGATTAACAAACAGTTTATAATTTTTAACTTAAATATTGTAGCCTATCGGCAATTACAACTTTGGATATAATGAAGGTCACGCTACAGGAGGCACCTTCAGAAGAGAAGCAGGTGATATTGCAGGAAATAAAGTCGGTTCTTACGGATTAGTAGATGCCGACGGAAGAAGAAGAGTAGTCAACTACGTGGCTGACGGAGCTGGTTTCCGTGCCAACATCCAAACCAACGAACCTGGAGTGGATCCTGCCAAGGACCCCGCTGCCGTTGCGGTTAACAAAGGCTTATTAGCTGCTCCAGCACTGAGTTATGCTGCTCCGGCATTAGGTTATGCTGCTCCATTAGCGACTACTGCACTTGGTTATGCCCCAGCTCTGGGTTATGCAGCTGCACCATACTACGGTGCTTATCTTTGGTAATAATTGAAGAATGTATTATAGTTTGATTTGGTAAATAAAGGTTTGGCGCATTCGATTCCAGTGTTTTCGCATGACAAAAAAGCTAATTAAGCCAATTATTTACGTACTACACGAATAGATAATGGAAACAAACAAACACAAATATAAAACCAAAAACAAAATTCTGCTTCTATTCTAAGTGATAGTACCGGTACTAAAATTTGAAAATTCTGTTGCAATCTGTAAATAATGAAATTTAACAGGTTAATTTTTTATTTCTATTTATGATGAAGAAAAAACTGAAACATTAAAAAACCGGAATTTCTGGTATTTGCAAAGTTTTCCTATGCAATTGCAATTCTAACTTTTTGCAATATTGGAAAAAGTTAGAATTGTCCAGTAGAATTGTAGACATAAGACAGTGAATATTTTTGCAGTAATAAAACTTAATACAAAACGTATTCAAAGACCAAAGGTATTTATTCTCCTCGTTTCATCCATGAATTCTCTTTACTGGGATTTAGAGTCGAAAAGTATAATAATTGAAAAGTATTCTTTGATAGAGTATAATAAATCTTTAATTATCAAATTCTTTGAAATAGATGATAAATTTTCAGAATTAATAAGATGTGAAAAATATTCAAAAACAATGGCTACTTCTATAATATTTTCATCTCACCAAATTGCTCACAACAGTATTACATTATTCAAACTCTATTATATGTTTTGGCACATAAGCCCTCATCAAATGAATAGAAATACGACAAATACTTTGACTACAAAAAATGGCATTTCGTTGTTTTTGTACAAATTAAAGCATACATTTCGTATGAAGCTTCCATAAGTGACTAACTTAATGCAGAAATTCAACAGGTGTTTTTATATATAAGCTTAATATATACCAGTGTTCCGCAAGCTTTTTCTATTCGCGGCATACTCATGACTAGACATGTCTCAACATGGCACACCAAAATGTTATTCCCCTCAAAAGCGTATGATATGATACTATTAATAGAATTACGTAATGCCACTAACTATTATTATTATTATTATTAAACAAACATCAACACCCGTGAGCAAATTTATTTTACATTTAATTTCTTAAAATACATAAAAATGCGTGGCTTGTAATAAAGAATAAACGAGCATCATCTTATTTCTTAAGTGCTGCGGCACTTATGAGATAACACTTGAAATACAAGCATAAGAAGCACAGCAACTGTGATAAAAATATATAAATAAAGCTTGAAATTAATAAAATATGTAAAAGTTCACATCACACCTTACACTTTGTGACGGCACACCAGTGGCCGCGGCACACCGGTTATGAAACTATATATATAGTTTCATAATACAGTATATGGCTGAAAAAGTAAAATACAAGTTTTCTCTTTAATATATATACACGCCAAATCTCAAGTTATTTTTACTAAACAATAAGTAATTATTATTTATTAAATCAATAAGGGCTGTGACATAGCGATAATATTGGCAATATTCTCGCTGCGTCACCGTCTGAAGTAATGCAAAGCTCAGTATATAAATTTATTTTATTTTATTTTCCCAAATACGGGGCTGTCCATGAATGACATCCACACTAGAAGGGACAGAAGGGTTGACAAGTCGAACAAGGAGGAAAGGAGGGGAAATAAAAATTTCAAGAAAAATGAAATAAAATTTATATTGCATTTTATTATATTTATTTTAAATTTCTTGTATGTTTCGTTTCTAATTATGGTATCTATCATCTATAAAGTGATAAGGGTTTTAAGGAGGATTGAGTTCAGTTGGATGTCCGGAAAAGAAAGAAAATTTACTGAAACTTGGACAAACTGACAAGAAGAGAGAGAGAGAAAGAAATAAAAATTTCAAGAAAAATGCGGAGGGAATTTATGGACATCTTCGAATAATAAAATTTTATTGCTTAATAACTCAAATTTTATTTTTAAAAAATTAGACAAAAAAAAAAAAATGACTGCATTTTCGTGATAAACAAATAATACAACGTGCTCCATCTTTCGACTTTTCTTCTGGCCAATTTCCTGTTGTTAGGCGCTTCTAGCGAAGAGTATTTTTGTGCTGTGTTCCCGGATTTAATGGCGGAATGTCTCTGCGAACTTGTACTGTGCTGTTCTCTGACTGTATATTTCCAAGGTAAATAAACCTTATGTTTTGTTTACGCCGTGTCTAGTTTCGTTCAAGAACCTCATGACGTAGTGTTACAACACTTGTCCACCATTAGACGAATGGATAAAAACCATCGAACGCTAATACAGTAGTTGGTCATGGGTTCAGGCCACGTGGAGTTTTCTAGGTTTTTCTTTGCGGGTCTGACACCTAAATAGGGGTCAGCTTCCCATAGAAAGTTCTCCAGCGAAACACGCCTTGTCAGATCGTCCAAGTGTTGCGTTGCCTTAGTCCATCGATCCAATCCGTCTTCATTCCAATGATCTTAATATTTGTTTATTCATTGTCTTGAATCAAACGTCAGCCAAAATTGTCGGATTATTTCTCAGACTACACTAAAATTAATTTTTTATTAATTAAATATCCAAATTTGTCCTTTAAAAAGGCGTTACGCAGCGTTATTGTGTAAATATAAATCAGAAATTAATTTTGAACTTAATGAAATAACTTAGAAATCTGAGGGAAAGATCAACCCGGACCGAGGATTCAAGTCCTGCGCCGAACTGATAGTGCTGATAGCAGCTCCCAAAAATAATTCGAAACTTTAGGTCCATGACAACTCACATGTTATTGAATATTAAATAAAACTTTATTAGGCCAGATAACGACATATATAGCATCGTTACAGTTCTCCAAGCAATACCACGTGCGACTTTTTTAACTTCCTCCCCCGTGGACAATAACTGGGCCATTTTTTAGCAACTTCACTATGGGTTCAGCCAGACCCACAATGGGGCGGCCGAGTGGTGAGAATGGACCATCTCGAAAAATTCCTGGGTTTTTCGACTTGTCTGGATTCTATCCCGGATTCCCCAGAGCGGCGGGCTTGCACTTTAACATCCGGGCCTAACATTTTCATCCGGCCTAAGCTGGTGCATTGATTGTTTTACAATAAAGGTTATCATTTCATAAATCGATTGGTAACATTAAATGCTAAATACATTTTTCCTTTTTTAATAAAAAATTTCATCTTTGTAATTTAAATTGATTTTTCAGTTATTTTTTTGCTGAATTAATTTTTATTGTTTTGCTGATATTTTCATTATTGTTCATTATCATCATATCCAATATTGATACCTATGAAATGTCAACTCGATGCGAAACAACCAAAAATAAGATTAACTATTGTTGCTGTCTCTGCAACTGATATTTCACAGCCTGCCAAACTCGAAGACAAATCACTAACAATAATGATTTCGTCTTTCCCATTTGAATTGCAGCAACAACAGACATCTGAAGGAATCATTGATGAAAAGTAAAGTAATTTGATACGAGATCTAGATTCATCATTACCATCTTCGGTTTACAAAAAAAACCAATGTTTATCTTGATGCCAAAGGACTCTGAATTATGCTTTTAAGAAGATAGTTCTCTATCCAAAAGGAAGGAAAAACAGGCCAATTGCTTTTGTATCTTCAATAGAGCACTTCATTCAGCAACAAATCTTTAAAGAAGAGCCAATTGCAGATTTTTCAAATATCGATGATCAATTACCTACTCTAATAGTATTTCATTCGAAATCTGAGCATATTTTGATTAAAATCTATAACGCTCCAATAGAATCTTGTCATGTACTGTTGAACCAGACAGAACAGAAACAAAAGTTGAGGAAAAGGCTATTGTGAATAAAACGTCATTAAACGTGAAATTACAAATAATTACAAATCACTTCAGATACAAAAAGATAAATCTGATCTATCTCGCATCAAAAATCAATGCAATATAGACTACTACAGATACTCAATAAGAGTCATAAATTTACAAGAAAAATTAGTCATAAATCAAGCAAACTTAATCCATTTTACCACATTCTCCAAACACCAAAAATATCGATTTATGAAATATCGATTTATGATTCAAATAACAAATTTAAAAATTTGGCAATTCAGTATTCCGGAAGCCAACAGTTATCGATAAAATCGATGTTTAACATCAGTAAAAAAAGCAGACCCACAGAACGCTCAAAATCGCTTTAGATTTATTTGATGAAAATGAAGAAGATAAACAACCTTCACAAACCGAAACAGAGGTTCCTACAAAAGAATACAAACTTTCGAAAACCAAGATAATTGAAGTCAGACTTTTTATAACAGAGAAGGATTAGAAGAGAATGAATGAATCGAAGAAAGATGATTTAAAGAATCATGGTCAAATTTTACAAGAAAGAATAGAAGCGATATTTCTTGAGGAACATAGAAAAAACGACGATGATTTCTACACAAACGAAAATACAAATAATCATATTACTATGTCTACCGACTAGCTTAATAGATTAAGGTTAAATATTGTCAATTATATTAATTACAGTTTTTAAAATTGAAGTATACTGTTTATGTAGTAGTGGGTAACTGTCGACAGTGAACCATAGTCTATAAATATTAATAAGTGTATGATTTTAGAAATGTATTGAGTCTCGATGTATTGTATAAAATTCCGAAGCAACACAGATGGACACAGCAAAAAGTGCGGAAATGCCTTTTAGATGTCGAAGTAGAATGATGTATATTATACTTGATAGGTCTCTCTGTGTGATAACTTATAAAATAACTGGAATATAACAGTATATGAGAACTAAAATAATCATATTCATGTTATTTTGAATTATTTTATAGAATAAATGAAATAAGATTATATTTATACATCGTCATCTAATAATTTTTGTAATTAAAAGTACCGTTAATCACAATTATAAAGCTGGATAGAATATTATTAAATAGCATTTTTATGAATCATTTAAGCTTTACATAATGGGTAGAAATAAGCCAAGTGTGTATGTATACGATATCTGATCATCCCAAGATTTCAACAAAACAGAGATTAATATCAAAATTTAACGTAATCGTAATTGCTTGTGATAAATATATTAAAAATGTAAAAGATATATAATTTATTATATAATGGCGGAATGTCTCTGCGAACTTGTACTG